AAAGTATACACTTTTGAACAACGAGTAGTACAATTAAATTAGTAAATAGGGGTTGGTCCGCTGGTAGGTGGATCGGAGGTACCCATCTCTTAATATTATAAATATATAATTTATTTGTTAGAAACCTGTAGATTGTACAATGCAGAACTTCTCTTTAATGTTTCTTCCACAGACAGAGTTCTGATGTCCAGTTCGCCATCTACAGCAGTGACTGGTACAAGGCGGGTACCAAGTTCCGCAAGATGGCTCAGATAATGATGATGAGAGCTAAGAGGGGTGTGACCCTAACGGCGATCCGGATTTACCCAGTAAATGTGGAAACGTTAATGGCCGTAAGAATATTTATTACTAATATTAAATATATTAATTGAATACTGAATTGTTGACCGTTACATATTTTAGAGGAAAGAGATGGTCCGGGCGGCGGTCATGAAGAGACTACAATAGTGGAAAAACTGTTTTATTTCAAGTAAATAAAAAGTTTACAAAAGTTCGATTGTAAATAAACTACTACAGATCTTAAGGAGAGATTGAAAAAAAAAAATGAAATAATGGATATAAAGGTGTGTGAAGAAAGGGGAAAATATATATAAATATAAAATAATAAAAATAGAGACTTTCAGATGTGCTCAGCAAGGAGTTTCAGTTAAAACTGGGGAAACTTAGGTAGAGCACCCATGGGGAAATTTGCTGACCTGATTGGGGAATGGTGAGGAAGTTAGTAGTGAAAACAAAACATAACCTGGAATATTACAGTATCTAAAATTCAAAGATGGTGTATAAAAGAAAAAAAATACGATATCTATGAACTAATAAATTATAAATACATATATATACATACAAAATAGAATTAAGAAATTATTAATAGAAGTACAATGCAAATAAAACAAAAATGAAAGATCTTACATAGAAGTAAATTGAAAATATAAAAATAATAGCCCATACATTGCAAAAACTAATTTAGAAGTATAGAGAAGAAAGAAATATGAATAATTATAATTATTTGAATATATTGTAAGACAATCAAATTTAAATATCAGATAAAATTGAGACATAATGCTTAAAAGTACAAAATAATATGAATACAAAATAAAAACGGATTATCATACATTGATGTAGAATGTAAATATAATATTAAAAATAAAAGAGAGATCATAAAAAACAGAAATAATTAAAAATAATAAAAATTAAATTAAATTAAATCAATGAAAATCGAAAATAGATACAAAATAAATAAACAAGAATAATAGAAGATATAAAAGAGAAGTTATTTTTCTCTTATAGGATTTAAAATGTGCCTATATGTTAAAGAAAAAAAAGACTAATTTCCGAATTCATCTACATTCACATGGAACATAATCTTGTTAATCATAAACTGCATTTTTTAAAAATATAGTCATATTTGAAATCTTATAAGTGTAAAATAAGTGTATACATTTATGATTTATCAGTTCAACTGTAAGTCTCTATTTTTATTATTTTATTTTTATTTATTTTATTTAATTTTGTTCCTTTTCTTCACGCCTCTTTATATCCATCATTTAATTTTTTTTTCAATCTTTCCTTGAGATCTTTAGGAATATATTCATAATTGCATATATTACACTACAACAATTGTTACCATTTATTTACTTCAGTTTAGGATCTTGTTATTTAGTTTACTCAGTTTATATAGTTTATCGTAATATTTCAATGTACTTACTGTTTATAATTTCAATACGTTTATTCAACTTGTTTATAATTTTGTATCTAAATATTATGTAAGATACACAATATTCTATATCCTTCTGTATCTTGTCCGTTCTAGCCCTGAAGAAGACCTGCCAAATTGGGTCGGAACGTTGGCTTGAAATAAATCAGTTTTTCCATTATTTTAGTATTTTTATGACCGGCACCCGGGACCATCTCCTTTCTCTAAAATACATTAATAACTAATAGTCATTGAAATAAATATTTTCTAAAGAACTATAAATTTGGTCGTTTGGTAATTTTGGAAATCCAATAATTTGATTTTTAAACAAAGAATCTTTTCAGACAATTTTCAAATATTTTAGAACTGGTTTATTACAATTCAGAAAGCCTCTTTCTCTTAGCACCTTTTCAATAATTTATTATTTGGAATCTCGATCCCCAGAGGCGTAATATATATATATACAAAATATCAATTATCTTATCATAAAAAATAATGGATTATAATTATAATAATTAAACATTCCATTAGGAACATATGGTTTATTTATAATAAAATAAAAATGATAAGTTCAGTGGAAATGTTTCAATTGGGTTTTTGTTGCAATCAAAAGTGTGTTATTGTAGCGTTTTATTTATTTATGAAAGTAAATGTCAAAAGATCAGGTAGTTTTTGTTTTCATTATTCAAGTTATTTTGGAGAAATCTAGATATAATTTATTAATATAAGCATTTTAATAAATTATTTATGCCATATGTATAAAACTCCTATTTATCTTTTTTCAGATTCTGCAATTCACATACACTGTATCTACAGTAATGTCAAGAATGATTGAATAGAAATATCTTATTATGTATTGTAAAACTGTATCACATTTTAATATTCAAACATTATTATAAATATAAAATATTAAATTTTAACACAAACAATGATTTTTTTATATAAAGCTCTAACAATCTGATGTTATTTCCTCTTTTAGCCAAACATAAAATTCGGTCCAGTCTATCTTCGCAGGAGTACTCCAAGGTTCAATGCTTCATCACTGTTTGTTTCATACACAGTTTGTTCCTTACAGTTCAAACATTTAAACTCAACATATCGCTCCTGTTAGTACAAAAGATCATACGTAAAATTTTTATTGTAAAATATTTATTTTGTTTTAAGAAAGTAGTAGGTAACAGAAGCTCAACACATATGTAATTAAATTATCAGCAGTTTAATTAGTTCTATTTATAGAGCTGATATATGAGCTCCTGTAACGCCATACTCTCCTAATACTAAAATCAAATCAAATACTATATCCACTAAAAAACGTTTTAATATAATAGGGAGATCAGTACACTTTCATATTTTATTATCCCCTGCTATTTTCCATTGTAGCAGACTACTTATTGTAGTTGTAAAAAAATATCACCTTTAACACAAATAGAATAATTATGAAAAATTGTTACATATGACTGTCGTAACAGCAATCTTAACAAGTCATGGTATCCAACAAGTTCCTCACAGACTCTACTAAAGTTAAAAAATCAATGAAATTGAAACTAAACCAATATATTAATTAAAATAAATTAATCAAAATAATAAATAAAAAATAATCTGTTAGTGCTAATACGAGACGATAAAAGTTTTTAAGTTGTACAATAAAAATGTAACATTTAAAAAAAAAAATTTACACAATTAAAATGCTTTTGTTGATTTTTTAAATACTAAAGAAATTAAATGCAAATTTCATTACATTTCTTGAAATAACAGTTTGGTTTTGAAATAAACTTATTGTCTCGCAAATTTTTTTAATATTTGACAAAAAAAATGTTGTATCATCGGATTTAATTGTTATTCTCTTTAGAAATCGATAATATCTAAATTACTGCCAATTTCTAAATAAATCTATTAGAGTTTACTTTGGAAATAAGTGAATAATATGAGGTTGAATATACTTGGAGTTGTGTTGCTGCGCCTTCAATCTGTTAGTGCGACTATTTTGAATGACTTTTTGGAGCTGATGAACTGTATATCCTATTGCGCCTGAGCAGCTCTATTCTCTTTTATTTTATACTGAAACAGACGGCAGTATAAAAAACAAACAAAAAATATAGCTATAAAATATTTATATTTTTTAATGAATTGTATATAATATGAATTCACATGTATTTTTCTATATGTATTTAATATGCTGATTTAAAATATGAAAACGTTCGTTTAAATTTAAACCAATTGGCTCCATAGATAAAAATATTTTTCATAAAAAAAAAAAAAAAAACGCGGTAAGACTTCAAAATAATATTATATATATATTATTTTATTCAAAATTTTAATTAAATATAATTAAAAACTACAATCTTTCGAGTCCAAAATTTTACGCCTAATAGCAAAAGCTCCCTCATAAACAACAAAACTATACATACTGACTTTCAACTATAACCAAATCATACATATTCATTAATCCCCATTTCATATTAAACTACAAAGACACTACAGACTTCAAAACAACATGGTCACGGTGGACATGCATCAAGAGGAGACTGAAAAGGAGCTCAATGAGAGATTTAAAAAAAAAAAAAAAAATTCAAACAGTGTACAAACCAAAAGATAATACAATATCTAATTTATTGAAAACTCAATAATCAGATATTAATAATTTTGGTATTAACCTCACAAATATTCCGATATTCTCACAAATATTCTTTATTGACCTAATATTGATGATAATTACAGTATTTTCTCTAACGATTCAATAATGGGAACATTAATAAGAAAATATAGTTGTTTCGATTTCTTATTCTGATTCATAGAGTGCAACAGTTTATTTCAGTCTTTTGGAGGATTGATTTTGAGATTATTAGATCGAAAGAGTTAACCCTAAACTAATAATTTTACTTACATAAATTTTATTTAAATAAAAAAATGTTTCCTTTATAGTAATGCTATGGACTGAGAAACAAATCGAATATCTAAAGAAAAAAAACGGATATTACTCCATTATTTAACAAAAAATTAACGTGACATTTTTATTTACCTTAATCTGAAGGAATTTAAAACTTTACAAAACTATAATGTTTCTTCATTTAACATTTTATTATTTCTAAGGATGTTTAAAAAATCATCCTTTGTATGGAGATTTAAATTAGACAGGTAAAAAGTGTTATCATTTTTTTTTTCTGCAATGGATGTCCAGACGAGGTAACAATTAATTTATCTCTGAGAATTGACCAATTGACTATCGATTATGTATAAACTAATCTGTCATGAGTAATTGGAACATTGATAAGAAAATATAGTTGCTTCGATTTCTTATTCTGATTCATAGAGTGCATCAGTGCTGTTTTGGGAGCCAACCAGACATGAGCTACCAATCCGTCATAAGGGACTCCGATATCATCGATGGTCTAAGTGTCAGGTATATCAAGTTATACGGGCTATGGAAAGTCATCAACGACTACAGGGCAACTGGGAAGATGAACAGGATCATAAAATTTCAAGTTTTCGGACACTTATCCTTGTTTTCCCGTGCTTTGCTTGTCAATTAATTGGCTACCTCGTTATCAAAATCGACATACAGGTGATGACGATTTTGAATTTGAACACCTCACTAGGTACTCAGATGTTTTGTAGAGTTTTCACATTCTGGTTTTGCATGGAGAAGCATTACAGGCTTTGCAGTTTATTGAGAAAAGATTTTCTTGACGTATCGGTACAAAACCTGGCAGAAAAGGAAGACATTTTTAAGAACATTAATAAGACTTCGAATTTTTATTGTACAATATCCTTGATTGTAAATGTTAGTATTATTGTTCTCACTGTATTTTATCCTGGTATATCAGTGGATTATATATTATTCCATACCGGAAACATGGGCGATGTTAAAACCGGAAGGAACAAGATACTCGGCTGTTGGTACCCTATACCAATGGCAGAATCACCTTATTTCGAAATTATACTGATATACGATGCTGTAATAATATCATGGGTTGAAATTTTATTGCAAGCTTATTTCTGTTTGTTTTATCAAGTTTTGATGTGTCTCCCTGCTCAGTTTAAATTCCTTAGGCAGCACATATTGTCTTTAAAGCTCGATAAATGTATAACTAATGAGAAAAATGTAAACAGTGTTGATAGAAATAAAGATTCTACATTTCACCAAGAACTCTATAAAATCCTGAAAGATCATCAAAAATTTTTAAGGTAAATAAGATGTTATAAAATATATAAATTACATTTATGCATTTCTTATTTAATTTTTTTTTATAAATTGTTTCGCTTTCAGATATACAGATGAGGTGAAGATAATTTACAATCCGTTGGTAACATTCATGCTTGGCATGAGAGTTCTAGTTTTAATTATTGGAGTTTTTCAATTTCTTTTCGTAAGTAATATTTAGTACAGGTACATTTATAAAATCTTGGGGAGAGGGATAGCTCAGTGGTAGGGCACTATGCTTCCAATGCTAAAGGTCCCGGGTTCGAATCCCGGCTCATGGTAGAATAATTATTTATTCTTTTTCATTAGCCAAGGGGCGACCCTGGGTAGATAGACCCCTCTGGGAAACACACAGCCTCTATAAAGTGGGTAACTTTAATTAAAATAATTAATTAAGGAGAAAAACCTGGCGATTGAGCGTGATCTAGGTCAAATCATCTCTTTGCACAACCGTAGACCAAGAAACAGTGCTTTTCCTAAATAGTACTGAACCCAAGACCCTTGATGGGTTGTAGTGGTAGAGGCTTTTCTTTTATAAAATCTAAGATTTTTTCAATGGAAAGTTGTAAGAAAAATCGATAGTAGTTGTAAGAAAAATAACAGTAGTTGTTTGGTATTTAAACAACGAAATTGTACGTTCTAACCGGCATTTCCGCCATAATTTTTTTTAATTTCCTTTTTTTATCAGTAATATTTCCTTTTTTTTCCTCAAAACAAAGTTAAAAATATCTTTAGCTTAAACATATACAAAACAATTCGTGTTATTGTAAGTAAATACTCATATTATTTCTGTTTTACTTATATTACTTAAAAAACAGAATTAACTGTACTCAGTTAGGCTATGATTGATGAAAATTATTTTACCTTTTTTTTTCTCTTTCCAAAGTTGGAATTTCTCTAAAAAGGGACCTTTTCCAGTTTATTATGAAAAGGGGAGTGAGTTGGTAGTTAGGTGGTTCCAGTAAGCACGTATGATTAATCATCAGTAATTGATGTACCGAGCAGCTTCTGTTGTCAGTCGTTTAAATTTAAATTGTATTTTGAGAATCTTCATCTTTTTCACTGAACCATATATGTTTTATGATAGGCATATATCCGTAGAGGTATATAAAAAAAAAAAATTGCTAATAATGTCACCTTAAGAAAACTTTTCAATCAGCCAAAAAATTGTTCTTTAGCATCTCAAGAAAAGTTAAACTGTGCGTCGAATTAGTAGCTAAACTTTAAATTTTGCATAAGTTGTATGGACAAAATCTTCGGTCAACAATTACTATTGAGTGTTCCACAGCATGAAAATGATTTTTCTAAGAGAAAAAGCACATTGAATAAAAGTAGTAGGATATGATATACTTAGCCTGCTGAGGGTCAACATTTTTAATATAGATCGATTATATCTTCGTCGATTTAAACATAATTGGCGGTATCTTTCCACACCCTGATTCCTAAATTTCATCGCTGCTGAGAGGTGGATAATTGGCCTGCATATTCTAATCAAGAACAGTAGAATAAAAACCCATAATGTTCAAATATTGAAAACTACTCGTACATTCATAATCAATTATGAAACATAGGAAGACAACCTATTTAGAGGGGTGTAATTAAAATTGTTTAAAATAAAATAATAATCTAAATTAAAAATATTGGTAATCGCTGGACGCAGAATGTGATGCAGTTCGAATTTTAATTTATGAAAATTTTCTCTTAGGGAACTCATTCTAAGCTTCAGGGCCATTAACAGTAATAAATATCAATTTTTGTAAAAATCAGCGTTCGTTGACCGTAATTTTCCTATCCTACTTATCCAAAATTTAAAGTAGAGTTATTCACTCGACGTACAATTTAACGGGTTTTTTTTTTTTTTTTTTTACTTTGACTCACTTGTCAAGGGTCACGAAACTTTTTCCATTAGGACCCGGAATAATAATTTTGTTTTTTAAATGTTCAAAACCATATATAAAAACCAAAAAAATAAAAAATAAACTTACCCCACATTTGTCACAATATATTTTCTACGTTGATCCTCAGGTTTTCAGCATCTTTTTTTTTTTTTTTAATCAGACGATATTTTTTAATGCAGTTGCTCTGGAAAATCAGATAAAATTCTTAGAATGACATTTAATTTCTTAATATAAATTCAAATATTCACCTGCATCGAGAAACCTTCTTATCTTCAGGGTCGAGAATTAATGGTATTGTCTTAATTTTACTTGACGATTCGGGAAAAAAAGTTACAATGTTCAATGGCTCACTTGGAGTATTTTTTTCTAGGACCCAATTCATCACCTTCAGTCCAATATAATTCTATAAAATTAAAAAAAAAGATGTTAAATCACATTGGACATTTTTTGGACATTTTTCATATTTTTCAAGGCCAGAAACTGCGCACGAACCGTCTTTTATACATTTTGGCAATTATAGATATGACAATAATTCAGAAAAATGTTCTTTAATTTTTAGTTTCCTGAAAAACGCGATGTGAAGAAAAACGACTTTTTAGAATAACCCGATTTTGGTAGAAAAGAATTTCTAATCAAAGTAGTATGAAAAATAAAATCAGTGTGATGAGTTCACCAGATGATTAAATTTTGATGTTTTTGTTTTACTTTCAATTAAAAGTCTTTTTTTTTTAATGAATATAATTTTTTTGTAAGAAACTCGTACAGTGCAAAAGCTTCTCTTTAACTTTGTTTCCACAGACACAGCTCTGACTTGCATTTCGTCATCTACAGCAGCGACTGGTACAAGGCGGACGTAAAGTTCAGAAAGGCGGCGCAGATGTTGATGGCAAGAGCGAAGAAAGGAGTAAGCTTTATAGCAATCAGGATGTACCCAAAAAATGTGGAAACTTTAATGGCAGTATGTATTACTACTATAAAGAATACATTAATCAATTATTTATTGAAGGAAGTTAGTCGACTGTTCTACATATGATGGGTGATAAATATTCAGGACGCAGTCATTATAAAGTTTTTATTGGTGCCGACGTTTCAACCCAAACATGTGGGTCATCATCAAGGCGTGGTTCGAGCACTGAATGTGCTCAGTGCTTCAGGCCTCCAGTGCTCGAACCACGCCCTGATAATGATCCATATTTTCTGGGTTGAAACGTCGGCACTAATAAAAAGTTTATTATGACTGCGTCCTGAATATTTATCACCCATCATATGCAGAACAGTCGACCAAATTCCTTCAATTGTTGCCAATATTAATAAATGATTTATAAATTACAAAAACCAAAACAGGGCTCCGGTAAATTAGACCAAGTTCATTTTTGTTATGAAAATGCAAGTTATATTTGTTTTCAATGCCCTTTTATCCTAAATAAATTGTTTATAGTAATAAAAAATAAAACTTATAATACCTAATTTTTTAGGAGGATTTCTTATGTGTTAAGTAAACAATTTTATCTCTTCAGGTTTTCTCAGCAATACTACATTAATATAACAGCTGGAAAGCTGAATTAATACTTTTTAAGCTCTATAGGCTAGATGAAATGGCTTAAATCTGACCTATGTATACAAATTCAGATCAAAGATTGAGAATGATTTAAGAGTACTTGCCAGCCGAAAAAATCTTCCTAGAAAATCAAGCACTAAAATTTTTATATTTTAATTTTTAAACTATGGTATTGAAAGTCTCAAAGGACGATGTGAAAAAAATCGCATTAATTTTTCATTAAAAAATCTGCTTTGTAATTATATTTAATAAAACTTTTTTTTTTCAGATTATGCATTTTACGTACTCCGTATCTACAGTGATGTCAAATTTGACTGACTAGAAATACGCTATTATGTATAATAAAACTATAAAACTTCGAATTTCCATCCTTTATTTTACAATTATCATAAATATAGAAAATTAAATTTTAATACAAGAGTAAGAAAAACTGAAATTTTTATTTTAATGTTTTAACAAACTTACTTTATATCAGCCTTCAGTCAAACGTGAACTTCTATTTGTTATATCTCAGCAGAAATATCATAAGATTCTGTGCTACATAAAACAACACTACCTTCCAAACACAAATTTCACAAAATCACAGCCTGAATAGAAGCTGGTTGAGTGACCCCGTCTTATAATCTATATCACATAGCATTGTACAAGAGCTAATGTTCACCAGTAAATTGGTAGTTGTTATTAAATATTTTAAGTTTTAGAAAAGTTATCAGCTGATTTTTTATTTTTATTATTTATTTATTCAGAAATATAACAATCTGTCACACGGACAATAATTATAACGAATAAATATGAACAAAATCACACCATATATACAGAAAACATAAAATATACGAAACCGAAAAAAAACTAAATAGTAATCAAAGAGTATAT